AATTGAAAGAGACGGAGGGCTTTTTAGAAAATGTAGTAATGATAAAAAAGCCACTACGATGAAGTTAGCTACTCGTTAAGGAATAATAGTAAGCAAACAGGGTTTTACATACCTTTACAAAGACTGGAACAAGCTACTACCAAAAAGATATTAAAAAAAAAATCTAATAGAGACCTTAGGGATTATGACACCAAAAAAGAATGCTACAAAAAGTATGCATGCCTCAAGGTTGTGGAAAAAGACTCCGAAGAGTTCTACATGTTTTGCGTAACATTTAATTTAAGTAATGCTTATGCAAATTAAGTGATGGAGATTCTTTAAAACATCTACTTTTATAATACGACCAAGAAAATAGATGTTGACATATCTTAAGTCCTTAATAATGAGCTCATCTCATATTTTAATGGGTTATTCCTTAGTTAGACAACCATTACCGTAGAGGAAAACTTTTTTCCTTCTTAAGCAACACTCCTTTATACCTATTCAAAATGAGTAGCACCTCGTTATCTTTGTCTAAAGAAAGAAATTGCTTCGTATTTAAGGTAGTGATTAGCTTCGTGTTCTTTTCTTAGGAGGAAGGCCTAAATATATGCTTAAAGGGAACTATAGTTTTATTGAAGATAAATAAGTTTGCTTGTTTTTCTTATAGTCATTTTCCCAAGTCCTATAAGATCAGTCCTTATCCATAATTTATTAATTAAATATTTTTGTTGTGTTTTTTTTCTCGGTTCAATACCCTATTTTTTCTTAATCTGGATTTAGAGTCCCTTAGGATAATCTAAGGGTTGATCTATCAAGTGAGATTCAAAATCTCATCTATCTTTTTAAATTTGAAACTTAGAATTTGAACTTAGGTTGTTACTTATTTAGCTAAATGTGCCTTTTAGATTCTTATGTCATCCTCATAGTGGGATGACTCATAGGTTAGGCCTTTTTATGGTCAGCAAAAACTCCTTTTAACTAGGTTGATCGAGTAAAGTCTTTTTGTCTTGCATTAAACTTTGAACAATAATCAGCTTTAAAGCATATGATATCTTTATACCTAGATTTTAACTTGGTGAACGTGGTACCTTTATATTTGGGTAAGTTAATCATTGGTTCTCAATTGAACAAAGTTATAGGTTCCTAAAAAAACATAATTCCTAAATGAATAGACTCTTTGAAGAATGAATTCCCCGAGGTCTAGAATCTTTGAATAAGTTTATGAAGGAACATAGTCGTAAGTTCTTAAACAAACATGATTGCATATTTCCAAAAGAATTAAATTTATAGAGAAACAGACCCTTCGAGGTCTAGAATCTTTAAGGAATAAGTTTCTAGAGGAACATGATCATAAGTTCTTGAAGAAAAGTGATTATAGGTTCCCAAAAGAACTAAATTTCTAAAGAAATAGACTCCTTAAAGAGTGAGTTTCAAGAGAAACATGGCCATAAGTCCTTGGAGAACGTGACCATAGATTCTTAGAGAAAAGTGGTTATAAGTTACTAAAGGAACTAGATTCTTGAAGGAATAGACTCTTTAAAAGGATTACAACATTTATGAAAAAGGTAATGTGGGACTTTTCTATTGACAAGATTACCATAAAAGATTCTTTGGTGGTATATCTAAATTGGATCGAATATTAGGTACTTACATTTAACCATAGATATTCTTCCTTATGTGGTGAAGTTCAAGATTAGGTACATTATGTTGATAATTGTATTTATCTTAAAGAGTAGGAGCTTTTTGATGTTGGCATACCATATTTCAAGATTAGGTACCTTGTGTTGATAGTTGTATTTATCTCAAAGAGTAGGATCCTTTTGATGTTGGCATTGTATGACAAGTTCATCTTAATAATCCTAGAGGTCTCGGTGAAGGATCACACTCCATGGAGATGTGTCCGTGATGATAAGGATTTCTACTGCCCCTTCTAATGGTTTTCTTATATCTTCTATGCTTGTAAATAGAGTTTTAGTTGGTTAAAGTTTGGAGAGGTTGGCTTTCATCGAGTTTGGAGATTGCTTGGCCTTACTTTGCTTTGGTCTAGGCTTGGGTTGGGCTTTGATTTTATAAATTATTTGAGGTAACCATTGATGCTTATCCTTTCTATAATACCTAAAAACTTTACATGATAATATCTTGTGTATGTATGTGCAAATGTGCTTTATTTATGTATTCAATTTAATATTTTTATGTGTTTAGAGGATGTGATGATTGGTTATGGAGTTTTAAGATATAATATATATTTTTAGGTATTAGATATTGTATTATTATAGATAGAAAGTAGTCCTAGCATCTTAGCCTATGCTACTAGGAATTAAAAAATTAAAATAGTAGTAACAGTAATAATGATGATGATGATGATGACGATGATAATTAAATAAATAAATAATAATAAAATAATAATAAGTTTTAATAGCTTTCTTAAAAGAAATGTTAGCGGGTATGAAAGAGGAGAAAAAGTTTTGAAACATATATTAAATTAAAGAAGAGACATGAATGGTCATGAAAGAAAAGAAAGTGGTCATAAAAGAAGAAGGTCAATGGCCATAAAAGAAGAAAGTTAGTGGCCTTTATTATTTTTAATTCATACACTTAAAATTTCTAAATGTTTTGGCTTCCCATACCTATATATAAGGTGTTATTCTCCTCGTTCAAGAAAGTCATTTCATAAGCTTATACTTCGAGAGAGAGAGAGAGAGAGAGAGAGAGATAATATAATTGAGTAAGAAGTGAAGTGAAAGGTATTTGGAAGAAAATTCAAGTCTTGATGATTAAATATTCAATGTAAGAAAAATATTTAATTTAATTATTTCTTTTTATATGATTTTAGGTAGAACTAAATTGAAAATTTCATGACTTATAATTGATTATGTAAAAATTATATTTCAGTATTAAAATCTTAAATTTTTTAAAAATATATTTAATGATTAAGTGTATTTAAATAAAAATTGAAAAGATTAAGTTAAAATTTAATAAAATTAGATTATATGAATATAATTAAAGGAGAATTGAACAAATTAGAGTAGAGTTGATGATTTAATTAAGATTTTTAATTTAAAAGAAATTACAAAAAATAATAGGAATTACTAAAAAAATTCATTGATGAGATTTAACTAATAATATTCAATTTCTTATGTTATATGGTGTATATGTTCAAGGTATTGAATTAATTCGATGTGTAAATTTTTAGAGAAAGGTTACGATAAACAATGGTTTCAAGTGAATCAAATAAGTGTAGCTCACCTACACCATAAAGATAAATGCTATATATTTTTATGTGATTGATGTGATATGATGGTCTTGAGGTGCATTCATATGCATGCAAATATTTTACATGTTGATTGAAAGAAAATGTTTTAAGTAAATGAATGAGATCTTTTTTTCTAGATATTGAAGTTTAAAGGTTGAGGTTGCCTATCTAAGCATAAACGTTGAGGTTTGACTATTAAATATCGAGGTTAATGTTTTTATATATGTTTTTATTGAGGTTAGACCTTACTAATCGATTTTAGTATCTTCTAGCGGGCTCAAATGAGGAAACGAATTTTGAAGACATTCATGTACAAAAAGTTAAAATCATGCATGTTACACTTATTAAGATATTAAAATGTTGAGGATGTTGATGCTACTCTTAAGGACTAGTGACTCATGTACTCGCCTTTGTATGTTTCTAATGATTAGGTTATGCTTTAAATGAATATTTATTTTTAAAATGATAAATATAATGGTCTTAAACTTATGAATGTTAGAAATTTTTATGTAGAATTTGAATATCAATTTTGGGACAAGATTATTTAATAATGTTAATTATGGTGAGAGATATTTTTTATAAATGATAAAATTTTAGAATAACATTTACGCTATGTTAATGAGAAAATCTTATAGATATATATTATTAATGACATATTTTAAATTAAAATATTTAAAGATAAATGAAATTAAATTAGGAACTTAATTTTAAGAAAATTAAAAGGATACAAGTTTTAATAACAACCCATTCGATCGCGACCCTTCAAGTGAGGTGTCTCCATTGACGGACGTTGTAGTGTGGTATGGAGCAAAATAGATTTTGTGGACTTAATTAGGAAATAAGGTTATTGATTATTTTGGAATGAAAATAAATAAGTATTGAATGTTTGATGTATAGTGGCACATATGAGTTCGAGGCCCTAGAAGAACATCAATAAGTAAGTGATGATTTTTTTCTTTCTATATATTGTATAGAACTAAGTTAAAATATATGTATGATGTGTATAAATGATATTTGAGTATTCTCTTAATTTAAATTCTATGATGAAGACTAAGTGAAATGATTCTAGGAATTTAAACCAATAATGAATGATGATATGATAAAATCTTCTAAGAAGAATGAGAGAACTAAGGTCCGTAAATGGTAGTACGCTCGAGTATAGAGTGGAAATAAGGTCTTGATCTAGCATATAATGAATATGATGTAGCAACAAGAAGAATGACATGAGGAGCATATAAGACAATTGTTGCCTCTGCAATAGTAAAAGGATCAAAAGGCTCAAAATCGGAGGCGACATGATAGAGAAATTTCAAAAGTTGAATCCAAAGGAGTTTATGGGAGACCCTAATCCTATAGTTGTTGAAGATTGGATTAAGTCTCTAAAGGTTATCTTTGAACATCTTGGGATGAGAGACTTTGATTGAGTAAAGAAAGCTATGTTTTTGCTGGCTCTAGATGCAAGAGCTTGGTGGGATATGGCTAAGGTTCCTTTGAACATACCTAACCTAACGTGGACATGTTTCAACAAGATCTTATTTGTTAAGTATTTCACTACAAATGTAAAATCTAAGAAGGTTCATGAGTTCCTTGATTTAAGATAGGAAAATATGATGGTGACAGAGTATGCCAATTAGTTTAAGTATGGGAGTTATTTATCCCATTCATTACCGATGAGCCCAAGCTAAAGAAAGATTAGTTCTTACAAGGACTCACTCCTCGAGTCAAAGGCTTAGTGTGAATGTCTTATGCCACCACTTATAAAGATATGGTCGATCGGACATTGATAGTCGAAGAAGACCAAAAAGAAATTATACAGGAATTTCAAGCAAATAAGCCGAGGCCTAACTTTTTGGTGAAGGTTGGGAGGTCATCCGGGATTAAGAAAGTTAAAAAAGATGATGTTGGATCAAAGAAAAATGAAGCTAACAAAGTTGTTCGTGTCAAGTGTGGAAGGATGAACCCCAAAAACTATTTAGTGGGTAGTAACATCTACTACTAGTGTAAGGAGCGAGGGCATATAGCTAGTCAATTTCCTAAGAGAATTAGAGGCAATCGGAGGGCGATAGCTCGATTGTATACCTTAACTCACGAATAGGCCAAACAAAATGATACGATTGTAATTTATGGTAACTTCTTTATCTCTAGACTCTTTGCATATACTTTGGTAGATTTAAGAGCAGCAAACTTATTTATATCAAGGTCTTTAATAAGAAGATTAGGTATGAAATCTAGAATATTAGAATCTATTTATGAAATAATATTGCCATCCGGGATATAATAGAGTCTACGGACTTAGTAAAGGTATGTGAGTTTGTGATGAGAGAGAGGTCAATAAAAATGAACTTAATAGTGCTTAGTATTAAAGATTTTGATATAATACTAGGCATGAATTATTTGTCAAAGTATGGAGCTAGAATTGACTATAGAGCAAAGGTGGTAACATTCCAACCACCTAGTGAAAAGCCCTTAGAGTTTAAGGTAAGTAAGAAGGTAAGGTCGGTACCGGTGGTGTCGGCTATGAAAGCATAGAGGATGGTAGAGAATGGAAATATAAGATATCCGGCCAATATAATAGATACTAGTGAGGAGATGAAGGAAAACGTAAAGGATATTGAGATAGTAAGAGAGTTTATTGATGTATTTCTAGAAGGAGTTAAAGAGGTTACCACCAAGTAAGGTAGATTGATTTTGAGATAAAACTAGAGCTAGAAACCACTCGAATTTCTAAGGCTCCTTATAGGATGGCATCCATAGAATTGAAAGAGTTAAAAGAGTAGATAAAAGAGTTACTAGATAAAGAGTATATAAGACCAAGTTATTCATTGTAAGGTGCATCAATGTTGTTTATAAAGAAGAAAGATAGGACATTAAGGTTATGCATAGGTTACTAGGTTTTGAATTAAGTAATAATTAAGAACGGTATCCTCTTCCTTGTATTGATGACTTATTTGATCAATTATAAGGGACATTGATTTTCTCTAAGATGATTTACAATCGGGGTACCATCGATTCGGAATTAAGGAAGGAGATGTGAAAAAGACTACTTTTTGAATTAGGTATAGTCACTATGAATTTCTAATGATGTCTTTCGGACCCATAATTGCTTCTATAGCTTTTATAGACCTCATGAATTGAGTGTTCCATAAATACCTAGATAGGTTTGTCATCATCTTTATTGATGATATTCTAGTCTACTCTAAGAGTAAGGAAGATTATAGAAATCACTTGACGATAATACTAAAAACATTGAGGGGGCACCAAGTATAATCAAAGTTCAAAAAGAGTGCATTCCGATTGGATAAAGTAGTTTTTTTTGTTCATATGGTGTCGAAGGATGGAATAAGAGTATATCCAAGTAAGATTGAGTTGGTTCAAAATTAGAGACAATCTAGAAATGTGTTAGAAGTGTAGAGTTTTTTAAGAATGGCTAGGTACTATCGAAGTTTTATGGAGGAATTTTCAAAGTTAGCGACTCCATTGATGAAGCTAACTAAGAAAAATATTAGATTTGAGTGGGGAGATGAATGCAAGGAAAGTTTTCAAGAGTTAAAGCAAAGATTGAATACTCGTATTTGTGTTGACTCTCCTAGCAAGTGAGCGTAACTTTGTGGTATACACAAATGCTTGTAAGATAGGATCGAGGACTCGTATAATATAAAAGGGAAAAGTTATAGTTTATGCCTCAAGACAGCTTGAAAGACTATGAGAAGAATTACCCCACGCATGATTTGAATTTAGCAACGAGTGGTGTTTGCATTTAAAATTTAGAGAAACTATTTATATGGGGTGAGATGTGAGATTTATACCGATTATAAGAGTCTTAAATACTTATTTACTCGTAAAGACTTAAATATAAGGCGAGAGGAGATGGTTAAAGGTGTTAGAGAATTATGATCATGTACTACATTATCATTTGGGAAAAGCAAATATAATAATAGACGTCTTAAGTAGAAAACCATGGACAACAATGGAAGTAGTACGGATTGGTATTTTAAGGGACCTAGAAGAGCTTAATTTATAGGTGAAGTCGAAAAGAGACGAGTGTAGGCTATCGATTTTAATAATAAAGCTAAATTTGAGGTCTAGAATCAAAAGTGGACGAGTTAATCGATGATGAGGTGATTAGGGTGAAAAAAGATATAAAGAAGGGGAAAAGACCAGTATTATAGTAGATGATGATGAGATGATGAGGTGCTAGGGTAGGTTATGTATGTTGAAGGATAAGGATTTGAGATAAGCAATTATGAGTAAAACATATTCTACTCCTTATTCAATATATCTCGGTGGTACCAAAATGTATCTAGATTTAAAACCAATGTATCAATGGGGAGAAATGAAAAAGGATGTAGTGAATTATATAGCTAGATGTTTAACTTATCAATAGGTAAAGGTTGAGCATCAAAGACAATCGAGTTTCTTACAACCTTTGGCAATACCCGAATGAAAAAGGGAGCACATAATTATGGATCTTGTAGTGGGATTACCAAGGTCAAAAATGGGATTTAATGCCATCCGGGTCATTGTAGATAGATTAATAAAGTCGACTCATTTTATATTAATAAAGATAGTTTTTAACATGACCCAATATACGTAATTGTATATGAAGTAAGATAATAAGGTTATATGGAGTATCCATATCGATTGTATCTCATAGGGATCCAAGGTTCATATCGAATTTTTGGAAGAGATTGCATAGGTAAATGGTACTTAGGCCAAATTTTGGTACTCGCTTTTCACCCCCGGAGTGATGGATAGTGAGAGAAAGTGACATAGGTGTTGAAAGACATGTTGAGGGCTTCGTACTTAACTGATCGGATAAATGAAAAAAAATATCTACCATTGGTAAAATTTAACTATAATAATAGTTACCAAACCGGTATAGGAATGCCACTTTATGAGGCACTATATGGAAAAAAGTGTAGATCACTAGTTCATTAAGATGAGGTAGGTGCGAGGAAATTTTTAGGATCAAAGATAGTTCAATAAACAACCGAGGTGATAAAGAAAATAAGGCTAAGAATGAAAACAACTCAAAGTAGATAAAAAAGTTATGTCGATCGGAGGAGAAAGGATTTAGAGTTTAAAGTGGGTGAAAATGTGTTTCTTAAGATAGCGTCAATGAAAGGTGTGATGTGATTTGGGAAAAATTGGGTCCTGGATACATCGAACCTTATGAGATTCTTGATAGGATGGGCAACTGAGCATACAGATTGGCTCTCCCACCATCTCTATCGAGAGTCCATAACGTCTTTCATATATCAATGTTAAAAATATATACGATTGACCTAAATCATGTATTGATGATAGAACCAAGTGGAGTTGACCAGTGGAATTGACTTCATATTTGACATATGAAGAGAGAGCGATATAAATATTAGATTGAGAGGTAAAGAGGTTGAGGAATAGGGAAGTGGTATTAAAGAAGGTGTTGTAGAGAAATCATAAAATTGGAGAAGCCATGTAAGAATAAGAAGAAGAGATAAAGGCAAGATATCTTGAATTGTACAAGTATGTAATTTTAAGAACGAAATTTATATGAGGAAGGGTTATAATACCATAAAACTTTGCATGATAATATATTGTGTGTATGTATGTGCAAATGTGCTTTATTTATATATTTAATTTAATATTTTTATATGTTTAAAGGATGTGATGATTAGGTATGGAGTTTTAGGATATAGTATATATTTTTGAGTACTATAGATTGTATTTTTATAAATAAGAACTAGTCCTCCAATTTAGCCTAAGCTATTAGGAATTAAAGAATTAAAATAGTAATAATAATAATAGATGATGATAATAATAATAACAATAAGTTTTGATAATTTTTTAAAGGGATTGTTGGTGGTCTGTGAAAGGAGAGAAAAAGTTTTGAAACATAGATTAAGTTAAAGAGGAGATATGAATGGCCATGAAAGAAAAGAAAGTGGTCATGAAAGAAAGCCACTTAGTAGCCATAAAAGAAGAAAGTTAGTGGTCTTTTATTATGTTTATGTCATGAACTTAAAATTTTCAAATGTTTTAGCTTCGCATACCTATATTAGGGTGTCATTCTCCTCATTTAGGAAAGCCATTTCATAAGCTTATACTTCAGAGAAAGAGAAAGAGAGAATATAATTGAGTAAGAAGTGAAATCAAAGGTATTTGGAAGAAGATTCAAGTCTTGATGATTAAATATTCAAGGTAAGAAAAATATTTAATTTAATTATTTTTTATATATATTTTAGGTGGAATTGAGTTGAAAATTTCATGAGTTAGGATTGACTATGTAAAAATTATATTTTAGGATTGATTATGTAAACATTATATTTTAGGATTAAAATCTTAAATTTTTAAAGAATATTTTATGATTAAGTTCATTTAAATAAGAATTAAAAAAGTTAAGTTAAAATCTAATAACATTAGATTATATGAATATAATTAAAGGAGAATTGAATAAATTAGAGTGGAGTTGATGATTTAATTAAGATTTTTAATTTAAAATAAATTACAAGAAAATAATAGAAATTAATAAAAAAAATTAAATGATTAGATATAAAATAATAATATTCAATTTCTTATGTTATATGGTGTATATGTTCAAGGTATTGAATCAAGTCAAGTTATCGATTTTTAGAGAAAGGTTACGATAAACGAGTGGTCTTAAGCAAATCAAGTAAGTGTAACTCACTTACACCATGAACATAAATGCTATGTGTTTTTATGTAATTGATGTGATATGATTGTCTTAAGATGCATTCATATGCATGTATATTTTTTACATGTTAATTGAGAGAAAATATTTTAAGTAAATGAATGAGGTCATTTTTTTAATGCATATTGAGGTTCAAAGGTTGATGTTGCATATTGAGGCATGAATATTAAGGTTCAAAGGTTGAGGTTTGATTGTTAAATATCGAGATTAATATTTTTATGCATGTTTTTATTGAGATTAGACCTTGCTAACCAGGTGTTAGTATCTTCTAATAGCCCCAA